ATTGTTCATTTACGAAGCCCCATCTCAGAGCTAGAACTTAAAATTGTACACAGCCAATGGGTTCTGGGCATTCTTTAGCAGTTTCCTGCCTGACTGGTTGCTCAGTTTGGAAGGGTGTCCATATCTAGGTAGCGTTAAGAGACACATTCAGCTCTTTCAGGAGGATCAGTAACTTTGAACTTTCTTGCAAGCTTTTCCTCATCTGTGCTTCTGTTCCACTTTAGCTGTGACTTGCTTCAAAACCTTCCTTGGCTGTTATGAGAGTTTTGTCATATCACCATGTGAACTGTAGTTTAATGACTAACGCAGGAAACAAAAACGTATTTACTCTAATCAGGTTAAAACACTGAGTTCACAGAGAAACCATCACACTTACTCTGTGACCTTTCATAGTGATACTGAACTGAACTGGTTTAGAGTTGACGTAGCAAAGAGTTTAAAAACATCTGGTATTGAGAATACTTTAATTCCCTTTGACTAACGTCTTTACTCAGCACTTTTTAGCTTTCAGTTGTGATTGCGTAGAGTCTAAATATCAAGTCTGATGAAAAGGCCTTAAAAATGTTGAGTTCAAGTGCAGACTGCAACAAAATATAAGACTTGGCAGGAGGGTGAATGTTTGCAAGGCACTATATATGTTTGTATGTAGCTCTTATTCTCTTTTAAAAAAGTTACTACTGTTCCTTGTTTTTTCACTGTAGTATCTTATTACAAGAAATAATGATTAGAAATGATTAGAAAATCATAAGAATGATTAGAAATTCACTTTTTCTTCATTTTTACATACGTTTCTTTGGATTCATTCCACACCATATGTAATGAGCTAAAGGCTTGTTATGAGTGTTCAGTCACCCTCTTCTGACCATCCCAAACGAGTAGGACATCACATTCACCCACTAAAACTAATTTGTATTCACAGGGACTCTTGGCCTACAGAGGTCTGGGCAAAGGTTACACTGGCTTAACTGCATGGGCTCCAGGAGGGCACACTACAGTCACTATGGAATTTCAACTCCACAATGTTTCTATGAATGAGATATTTAAGAGGGCCATGGAAAAAAAAAAAGGTCTCTCTTGCTGTGCCTGGATTAATTCCAGGCACAGAATTTGTGCTGACAAAGACATTGACGTGGACCTTAAAACATCTTGTGTGAAAGCCAATTGTTTCAGGCGAGGCTGCTGTGGAAATGTTGAATGTAGCCTAGTTCACGGTAGCTGTGCAATAGGCACTAGTGCTGGGATTCGACTCCAACCAAAGAAAACTCCCCAAAGAACTGCAGTACTAGCAGCACAGTCGCGCTGCCTGAATATCTGAAAAAATACTTTAACTATGTATTAACTATGACTCTGAAAAGAACTGGAGTACTTTATTTGGTGATAAATGTCTTTGCCACTTTACCAGATTTTCTACAAAAAGTACAAGTAGCTTTTACAAATTGTTAAAGACCTGCAAAAATCTTTGAATTATCAGCCACATTGAGTCGGTAGAGATCCCAAAACACTGTGCATACGTTTGATACAGCTGAAAATACAAGTGGATTAACAATCAGAAATGTTTTATCTATGTGATTAAGGACAAGTAGACACATATTTTGCACCATTTTTATATGTTTTGCACATATCTTAGTCGGTAAACAGTACTGCGACATTAATCTGGAGCACCGCAATATTCCGTTTTGGAATAGAATATGTAGGAGTGACAGAACTGAACTAAATCCCTAATGGTCCAACATGCATGTTAAAATAATGAAAGGTTCGCTGCCAGTTCCTTATTCCAAGTTTTTAAGGCAGCTGTAATATAACATAGCCGCAATAATCTTGTTTCTAGTTACATTCTTCATTTAATTTTCCATATTTTAATCATATTGTACAAGGTATTGAAAGCCCATTACAGGAAAACAGGGTTGACTTGCATTTTAATACGAGACAAAAACAATCTCACTGTACCGACTTGCACTTTACTCCTGCAATGATAAATGAACACAAACTTTTAAACGATTCTCCACAGAAAAAAGAATGTTGCTTCTATGCTTTACTTAACCTTTAATTCACCATCTTGAATCAGCTTAACATTAAGAAAACAATTGTCAATTGTGAACGCTGCAACCGATGTTGCTTGGTCATTGCTCTAGGTAGCTGGCAGTGCAATGCACATCAGTCACTGTCTTTATAAATTTCCTTTGACCACTATCCGTTTGATTAATCTTGTTGGCAATGGATTTCTTTGTAATTTAACACATCTTAAGATCTTAATCTATGTTTAGATTCTAAACAAAAATCCATCCATTTTCAAATCCCTTTATCCAATACAGGGTCATGGAGAAGCCAGAGCCTATCCTAGGAACAGCCACAAGTGCACGCACAGACACAAATATGCACAAAATCACACCTGGGCTAATTTTCCTAGAAGCCAGTTATCCCACCAGTAGGTCTTTGGACTGTGGGAGGAAACCCACACAAACACTGGTAGAACATACAAATGTGGGGGAAGAGTAGAAGGTGTTCTTCCTTTTCAGTTGCTTTTTACTCTGTACCATGGAGAACACCCAGCCAACACTAGAGCTTTCGTATTCACCCAGTTACACCTGTTTTCTTCACCTCCAATCTTTGATAATTACCAGGTACCTGAGGGTTCATTCCATGACACTCTGCTTCTTGTACTTTTCACTGTACAGCAGGCACTGGAGAATTCAATTTAATTAAGCCCCTGCTGCCAATTTCTCAATGTTCACCTCACTAACCACAACTCGCTTTACACATCGAGAACACAGAGCTTTAAACGTAGCTTAACCCTTTCAATCTTCAATTTTTTCCTTTTAATCCAGACTGCAGTCTTCATTGGTGTCAGGCTACCTTGGGACGGAGAATTTCAGTGGCAATCAGAAGCTGGAAGCTGTAAAAACTCACATTTTCAACACAATGACGAAAATGGTGCCAAACCAATAAAACACGGCAAGCCGTGGAAGTGGAAGTGGGGTTATGGGTCAGCAAAAGGTTCTTTTTATACAACACGAGTGCAAATAAAGCTACTTAAATTACGGAATACAAGTAAAGACATTACATTTGCTTGTTCGATGTTAACAGTTACAGTAACATTATAGAAGGCTGACAATAACACCTTGTCCACAGAATGTCACAAGGAATACTGGATGGCAAGTTCAAATCAACAGGGACACATGGCTAAACATGTTCATTAAGAGTGCTTCACTATCAGATACTGCACAAATTCAAGTATTTAAAGGAGGGGAGATAACTTCATCAACCAATGCAGTGATGTGTGGAAGCCATTTTACACTGGAAGCCCCACTACACAACAGGTCAAGTGCAATTTACTCCCAATAGACACCTCACTTTTTATTAAGGAGAACAGGTGACAGAACATCTTGTTTTGCTGCTGGTAAAGTATTTTCTCCTTCTAGATGTTCTAAAAACTCCCATAATATCTTATTTACATAATGCAACCTACTCAAATCTGCAACAGAACACGGCTAAAGCAGCATTTTTCAAATTCTCACATTGCAACATTAAATGATAAAGCTGTTTTTTTCTTTTTTGTTAATGCATATGCATTTAGAGTTCATACATATTATTGGAAATATACTGAGCTTAAAAAACTGAATCCATGTTTTTTTGGAAAAACAGATAATTTCATGACTTGATCATCAATCATTTATGATTCTCATAATAATAATAACAACAACAACAACAACAACAACAACAACCTTTATCTCATATAGAGCCTTTAAAGGTGGCTCCTCAAAGCGCTTTATAGAATGACAACAATAAAAAGAATACACAAGATAAAACACAATTACAATACACAGAGGAGACTGTGGATGGTGGTACTAAGAAAAGCAGAGGGGTGAAAAATGAAACCAGTTAAGTAAAGGCTCTTCTAAAGAAGGTTTCGAGTCTGGATTTGAAGGAGTTTAGAGAAGGTGACTCTCTGATATCCTCGGGCAGAGAGTTCCAGAGCTTGGGGGCATAACAGGAGAAGACCCTGTCACCCATAAAATGTAGATGGGCTTTGGGGGACAGTAAGGAGACCAGGTGGGGTGAGGTGGGG